AATCGAATGATTTATGGGGACTTTGGAGCACCATTTACCTTAAATCGGACGAAAATATATATGGGAGCTATATCTAAATCTGAACCGACTTTCACGAAACTTAACACACATCATTCTATACCTAATTCATTACGCTGTGCCAAATTTCGTGCAAATCGGAAGATATATAGGGACTTTTGTACACCATTTACATTAAATCGGACGAAAATATATATGGGAGCTATATCTAAATCGGAACCGACTTTCACGAAACTTAACACACATCATTCTATACCTAATTCATTACGCTGTGCCAAATTTCGTGCAAATCGGAAGATATATAGGGACTTTTGTACACCATTTACATTAAATCGGACGAACAAATATATGGGAGCTATATCTCAATTTCAATAGGGGTCGTCCTTGGGGCAACCAAATCGGATCATAAATGCGACCTGTACTTTGTTCACAAAAATACATGGACGGACGGACAGACGGACATGCGTAAATCGACTCAGAAAGTGATTCTATGCATATTATTCAAAGGAACCATGTGTCTATCTCGTTTCCTTTTGTCTGTTACAAACATACGCACAAAGACATAATACACAGTGTGGTGAAGGGTATAAAAATAGCTATCTTGTAGTCTCTATGATGCCCTAAGTACATCTTTAAAAAATCCACGCCTTAAAAAGCCCTAAAATATTTAAGAAGTACACGTCATATGGCCGGTACAAAATTCATTAAAAACTCCAAAATTAATTAAAAACTCCACGTCTTATGGCCGGTACAAAACACTATAAAACTAATTAAAAACTCCACGACTTATGGTCGGTATGAGACCATAAAAATCTATAACAAAGGCGTACATTTGTGGTCAGTATAAGGATCTAAATATATGTTTAAACAATCTCTAGCATATAGTCTGTATGAGGCCCTTAAAAATTCACGCTTTATTCGATATTTTTACTATGACTATTGTTGCGTATAAGTATTGTCGTAACTAATACGCAACCTGCACCAAAGTACATTTTAATTGTTTTTCAGATGATAAGCTCCATATTACTTCATTTTTATCTACAAGCCATGAATTGTGGTCTTTATGAAGCTAAAAATTATTTAAAAAATCCACATTTTAGGATTTAAAAATTGTCCTAAAAAGTCGTTCAGAGTTCATGGCAAGTGGTCTTAAAGGAAAACTATTCCTTTTAAATATCTGAAGGAACTCCCAACTAATTAGTAAACAAAAATCCTCGTTTTGTGCTCGGTATAGAGCCCTAAAATTCTATAAAAAAATCACACCTTGAGATCAGTATTGGATATTTTTCCTATGTTCAGTATTGCGTATAAGTATTGTCGTAACTAATACGCAACCCGCACCAAAGATACATTTATTTATTATTTACATTAATTATATAACTTCATTATTTTCTAAAAATCGACATCGATTGTGGTCGATATGAAGTCCTACGAAATTATTTACAAAATCTTGTGGTCTTGATTTTTTAATTCACTTTACTATCCATTAGGCTCTCATCTATCCTGCAAAACTCATTTTTTTATTTATGATAATTGTATGGATATTTCCAAGACCATGCAGTCCGAAGATAAACATTCAGACAACCACAACAACAAAAACTTTTTCAAAATAAAAAATCCTGATATTGTTGTTGTTTTTATTCCTGAAAAATAAAGTAAACCTGCAGTGGAGTCACGTCCATGTGTGTGTGTCCTGTGTTATTCTATTCAGTTATTAAGATTTGCAAAATATTGAAAGGGTTGGGACGGGACAAGAGAAGGAGAGGTAGTTGGGAATCTAGGCATTCCTCTCTGGAATAATTTGAGTATCATGTTTCTATGCTGAAGAGCCTCTGGGAACCTACTGAATAATAAACAAATGGATTAGAAGGTCAATGCATAGCCAGAGAGTTATAGAGTAAAGAGAGGCAACTCCAGAGAGCAAGAGAGAAAGTATCAGGGCCCCATTGCTTTCATCAAATATTGCCTGATAATTCGAATATTGTAGTTTTGTTTCTCTGCGATTGATTCTAATCCTCTACCAAACATATTTAATTATAACCAACTTCGTGCAATCCCATCCATCTCATGCGGAACCCAATTCAGCAGCATTTGGCCTATAACTAAATCCCAATTTCATAGAGAACCGAACTGAAGGCTTGCCTGTTGTGTTCCAGCATATTCAGCACTTATTAAGATTTTACACTCTACAGATTTTTAGTTGTTGTTGTTGTTGGTCGAAGAGTAAGAGAACAAATTATTTACAAGGCCTAATCTGTGGAGGGCTTATTTTGGGATTGATGCTACAAAAACGGTATGGCCCTAGCCAGCAGCTGACCGGCCATCACAACAGCATGGCCATGGCTATTTTCATTTTAATGCTTCCAGTGGAGCATTTTTATGTGGTGCTGGCCAAAAATAATTTATTTAGCAAATATTTTTCTCCATGGGGGAGAGAGTAAGGAGCCAGTTATCCTTTTCTATTTGAGGGAGAAGAAGAGAGATTGGGAGGGTGTATGGAGTTCACATGTGTTGGCAGGCAATTTCTCTGAATATCCGAATAAAGTCTTAATTTTTATAGTTTGTTTTAACCCGAAAATCCCATCATTTGTCTAATGGCTTTGAAAATATGTTGAAAGGATACTCTCTGACGAGACAGGATATCTTTTTGTTTTGTTCTGTTTTGTTGCTCTAATCAACTGGCAAAATTACTTGAATAGTTTGCAGGCCATGAGAGTGTAATAAGATTAGAAACAAGAAGTTCGAAATGATGAGCATAAATTGGAGTTGTATAATGATTTTGAAAGAGGTAAAGGAGATGCAGACATTTTTAAAATTTAATTACATATGGAAAATCGACAAAAAAAACTTTGCTGAATAGGATTTCTTCAATTTATGGTTTATGAATATGGGTTCCGATGGAAAATCTGCAACTCAGCCAATTTTCTATAGGAAATCTTCAATTCAGCCCAACTGAATTAAGGTTTCCATAGGAAATCTTCAATTCAGCCCAGCTGAATTAAGGTTTCCATAGGAAATCTTCAATTCAGCCCAGCTGAATTAAGGTTTCCATAGGAAATCTTCAATTCAGCCCAGCTGAATTAAGGTTTCCATAGGAAATCTTCAATTCAGCCCAGCTGAATTAAGGTTTCCATAGGAAATCTTCAATTCAGCCCAGCTGAATTAAGGTTTCCATAGGAAATCTTCAATTCAGCCCAGCTGAATTAAGGTTTCCATAGGAAATCTTCAATTCAGCCCAGCTGAATTAAGGTTTCCATAGGAAATCTTCAATTCAGCTCAGCTGAACTAAGGTTTCTAAAGGAAATCTTCAACTCAGCTCAGCTGAATTAAGTTTTCTATAGGAAATCTTCAATTCAGCCTAGCTGAATTAAGGTTTCTATTGGAAATCTACAATTCAGCCGAGCTGAATTAAGTTTCCTATAGGCAATCTTCAATTCAGCCCAGCTGAATTAAGGTTTCTATAGGAAATATTCAATTCTGCACAGCTGAATTAAGGTTTCCAGAGGAAATCTTCAATTCAGCCAGGCTGAATTAAGGTTTCTATAGGAAATCTTCAATTCAGCCTAGCTGAAATAAGGTTTCTATAGGAAATCTTCAATTCAGCCCTGCTGAATTAAGGTTTCCATAGGAAATCTTCTATTCAGCCCAGCTGAATTAAGGTTTCTATAGGAAATCTTCAATTCAGACCAGCTGAATTAAGGTTTCTATAGGAAATCTTCAATTCAGCCCAGCTGAATTAAGGTTTCTATAGGAAATCTTCAATTCAGCCCAGCTGAATTAAGGTTTCTATAGGAAATCTTCAATTCAGCCCAGCTGAATTAAGGTTTCTATAGGAAATCTTCAATTCAGCCCAGCTGAATTAAGGTTTCTATAGGAAATCTTCAATTCAGCCCAGCTGAATTAAGGTTTCTATAGGAAATCTTCAATTCAGCCCAGCTGAATTAAGGTTTCTATAGGAAATCTTCAATTCAGCCCAGCTGAATTAAGGTTTCTATAGGATATCTTCAATTCAGCCCAGCTGAATTAAGGTTTCTATAGGAAATCTTCAATTCAGCCCAGCTGAATTAAGGTTCCTATAGGAAATCTTCAGTGCAGCCCAGCTGAATTAGGTATTTAATGGAAATTATTCAATTCAGCTTAGCTGAATTAGGTATTTAATAGAAATTCTTCAATTTAGTTTAGCTGAATATAAGTTCCGATGGAAAATCTGCAGCTTAGCTTAGCTGAATTAGGTTTCAGTAGGAAATTTTCAATTCAGCTTAGCTGAATATGGGTTCTTATAGGAAATCCTCAATTCAGCTTAGCTGAATAAAGGTTTCCATAGGTTATCTTCAAAGTTTCCTTATGAAAATAATGATTCCGATGTTAAATCGGCAATTCAGCTTTGCTGAATTGATGATTTCCTGTCGCCAATAATTTTCCTTCGTTTTAGAAAAATTGCCTTAAATCTCTTTTTAAGCATTTTGCCAATCAAACTATTTGCTGTAAACATTCATCATTTACCAAATGGGCCATATTAGCCATTAACATTCAATAGCCATCCGACCAGCTGGCCCATATAAATCAGTTCCACACCATCTTCTGCCACCACCATTAGCATTATCACAAATCTCTGTGTTGGACCTTCAAAATTTCTAAGCGTTTTCATTAATTTCGTGTTCATCATTTTCATATTTTCAATTGAATACCCCCTTCCCCTTTCGATATTGGATAATAGATATTGGCCCAAAGATGCCGTTCGGCAGTGACATATCTGTGACATTTGCCTAATGCGCCTTGGCCGGCTGGCTATGAATTATTGCCCCGAGCAATTAGACGATCTTAAAAAGATATTTTCTGGGGATTTGCTCAACAAATTATTCAATAAATATTATTTATGTCAAATTTGGCTACAAATGCCGATCAATATTTGGACCCAATTCCGATCGACTATAGAAAAATAATTAATTGAAAATATTTTTTCGTTTTTTTTTTCTTTGCAGAATTGGAACCGGCATTTCCTTATCGTGATGTTCAAATACAAAGAGATGTGGATGCCCATGAACTGTACGACATTCTCGGAGAGGTGGGACGGTATGTAGAGAGAGAGAGAGAGCGGAAGAGGGAGGGATAGGGCGAGATAAATATTTATAATTAAAATTATTTAAATTTTTAGTGGCAAATTCGGTGTCGTCTACAAATGTCAAGACAAAAGTAATGGCCTAAAGCTGGCTGCCAAATTTGTACCCACACCCAAGAAGGAGGATCGCCGCAATGTGGAACGGGAGGTGGAGATCATGAATTCGCTGCAGCACCATTTAATTACACAGTTGTATGCCGCATATGAATACAACAAAATGATGTGTGTGGTGCAGGAATTGTAAGTAGAAAAAAATAACAATAAAAACAACAACACTAACAATGGAAAATATTCCAAGACCCTATTGACCCTCCAGTACTTAGTATGAGGGTATTAGAATTGCTAATAGCTTCGATAGGAAATTTTCAAGACCGCTTAGGCTAGCTGAGCATTTGTTTTTAGTTGTAGTTTTTAAGTCTAAGCGTAACTTATTCGAGGCTCCTCAAAAATGTGTCTTTTAATACTCGGCCGAATATTGAAAAAAGTATTCAATATTTTGGTGACAGTCAATGTTCACCTCGGGCCGAAATATATTTTTCACGTGGAGAAGCCCAGAAGAAAAAATCAAAAAAGAAACAAAAACAAGGCCAGAGTAAGTTCGGAAGTGCTAAATGAAAAATTAACTGATAGAAACCTAAAAAAACCATATTTAGCTAAGCTGAATCGACAATTTCCATAGGAGACCTTATTCAGCTAAGCTGAATCAGCTATGTTAAATTGTAGATTTCCAACAGAAACTTTAATTCAGCAAAGCTGAATTGAAGATTTTCTATAGAAACTCTAATTCAGCTAAACTGAATTAAAGATTTTCCATAGAAACTCCTATTCAGCTAAGCTGAATTGCAGATTTTTTATGGAAACCTTAATTAGGCTGGGCTGAATTGCAGATTTTTTTTGGAAACCTAATTCAGCTAAGTTAAATTGTAGATTTCGCAATAAAAAACTTATTCAGCTAAGTTAAATTTAAAATTTCCCATCAAAAACCTAATTCAGCTCAACTAAATTGAAGATTTCCATTGGAAACATGATTCAGCTAGGTTTAATTGTAGTTATCACAAACGTATTCAGCTAAGCGGAAACCCTAATCCAGCTGGGCTGAATTGAAGATTTGCAATAGAAACCTTAATTCAGCTGGGCTGAGTTGAAGATTTCCTATGGAAACCTTAATTCAGCTGGGCTGAATTGAAGCTTACCTATGGAAACCTTAATTCAACTGGTCTGAATTGAAGCTTACCTATGGAGATCTTAATTCAGCTGGGCTGAATTGAAGCTTGCCTATGGAAACCTTAATTCAGCTGGGCTGAATTGAAGCTTGCCTATGGAAACCTTAATTCAGCTGGGCTGAATTGAAGCTTGCCTATGGAAACCTTAATTCAGCTGGGCTGAATTGAAGATTTCCTATGGAAACCTTAATTCAGCTGGGCTGAATTGAAGATTTCCTATGGAAACCTTAATTCAGCTGGGCTGAATTGAAGATTTCCTATAGAAACCTTAATTCAGCTGGGCTGAATTGAAGCTTACTTATGGAAACCTTAATTCAGCTGGGCTGAATTGAAGCTTACCTATGGAAACCTTAATTCAGCTGGGCTGAATTGAAGATTTCCTATGAAAGCCTTATTCAGCTAAGCTGAATTGCAGATATTTTAATGGAAACCTTAATAGAGCTGGGCTGAATTGAAGATTTCCTAGGGAAACCTTAATTCAGCTGGGCTGGATTGAAGCTTACCTATGGAAACCTTAATTCAACTGGGCTGAATTGATGCTTAACTATGGTAACCTTAATTCAGCCGGGCTGAATTGAAGCTTACCTATGGAAACATTCATTCAGCTGGGCTGAATTGAAAATTTCCTATAGGAATTCGTATTCAGCTGAGCTGAATTGAAGATTCTTAACTGGGAACCCTTTTCAGCTAATCTAACTCGAAGATTTCCCCTCGGACACATTAATTTTATATTACTCTTTTCTAATTGAGCTGTGAATATTTTTTACTCTCTTTATATTTTTCTTTCTCTTTCCAGAGTAGAAGGCGGTGAATTATTCGATCGTGTGGTCGACGATGAATTTGTCCTCACCGAGAGGGTGTGTGTCGTCTTCATACGCCAAGTCTGCGAAGCTATGGAATTTATACACCGCAACAATATCCTCCACTTGGATTTGAAACCTGAAAATATTTTATGTCTAACCCAGGAGGGTAACCGCATTAAAATCATAGATTTTGGTCTGGCACGGAAATTTGATCCGAACAAGAAATTACAGGTACGAAACATAAAAACGAAGTCATTAACCAGAACCACATAGGATTAATCCTGAGCAGAGGGTTGGCAATTAATTGCCTGGTAATTCGTTAACAAGAAGATTTACATATGTATTTGTGTGTTTATGTGTGTGGTCATAAAAGAGTAGTAAAAAGAGAGGGGGCGACCTCTCTTTAATTATTCTCAAGTTATTTTATTAAAGCTCTTGGAGCTAATTAAAAATGGGTTTTAATTTATTTGACATGAATTTCTTTGATAGAGGTGTATTTAACACATTTGAAATAATAGATCCGCAAGGTTTAGGGTACTGCATAATTTGAGGGTAATAACTGACAACTTTATATCCGAGCATCGAATAAAAACTAAATTAAAATATTTGTCTTACAAAAACACTGCGATTGGTAAAAAAACACTGAGGAAAATTTAAAAATGAACAAAAATCGCAAATTCAGCTCAGCTGAATAGAGTTTCCGATGGTAAATCCGGAATTCAGCTTAGCTGAATAGGGTTTCCAATGGAAAATTTGCAATTCAGCTTAGCTGAATAGAGTTTCCGATGGTAAATCCGGAATTCAGCTTAGCTGAATAAGGTTTCCGATGAAAAATTTGCAATTCAGCTTAGCTGAATAAGGTTTTCGTTGGGAAATTTGCAATTCAGCATAGCTGAATATGGTTTCTGATAGGAAAATATTCATTCAGCTTAGCTGAATAGTGTTTCCGATGTTAAATATGCAATTCGGCATACCTAAATAGCGTTTCCGATGTTAAATCAGCAATTCAGCTTAGCTGAATAAGGTGTTTGAGGCTAAATCTATAATTCAGCGCAGCTGAATAAGGTTCCTGAAGGGTAATCTGCAATTCAACTCAGCTGAATTAAGTTTTCGGTGTTAAATCTGTAATTCAGCTTAGCTGAATAAGGTTTCCGATGTAAAAATTAGCGATTAAATGTATCTGAATTAGCTTTCCAATAAGAAATCTTAATTTTAGCATAGCTGAATAGGATTTCAGATTGAAATTTTGAAATTTTAACATAGCTGAATTATGTTTCCTCTCTAAAATCTGCAATTCAGATTAGCTGAATAGGATTTCCGATTAAAAATTTTCAATTCGGCATAGCTGAATTAGTTTTCCGATTCGAAATCTGCAATTCAGCTTAGCTGAATTAGGTTTCATAGCCGAAATCTTCAATTCAGCTTAGCTGAATTAGGGTTTCAGTTGAAACAATGTAATTTAAGTGCTCCTATACGACTTCTTCCAACTGTATTTTTAATTTAAACCCCAATTCTTGTTCTTCTACTTTGTATTAAACAAACACACACACACACACACGCACATCCATACGTGTAATATGACAATAGCAATGGGGTGTTTCATAATTAAAACGAAGAAGAACAAAAATAAAAATCTCGAAGTAAAAGGAATGCAATAAAAATCCGAGATTACACCAACATACAAATGTTAATGAATTTCCCACCTACAAAGTTCTATCCCTTGGTTCATCATTTCATCCACTTCCCTCACCTTCTAACTGAACAATAACCATTCTTTCTGTGTGTTTTCTTTTCGTTTGTTAATTTTTTGCAGATCCTTTTCGGTACACCGGAATTTGTGGCTCCTGAAGTTGTTAACTTTGATTGCATCTCCTATAGCACAGATATGTGGAGTGTGGGCGTTATAACATATGTTCTGTAAGTAAAAGTTCGAGGAGGGCGGGGAGCGGACCTCCCTCCCCTTTCTTAACAAGAAATTAAAACATAATTAAAAAATCTGGTTAATCAAAATCGTGGTTGTCATGGGAAAAATTTTATTTGTGGCGGGATGGATGGAGATGATCCTTGGTTAAAAATAATTTAATTTCCATTGATTAGATTTTTTGTTAAACAAATTTCGAACACATTGTTATGGTATTGTGTGCATGTTTTGTTTTGTTGTTGTTGCCGTTGTAGTTGTTTTGGTTACGAATCTAATTAAAAAATGATTTCATTTGGTTTCAATTCCGACAATGACCCTTAAGAATAATAAAGAGGTTTCATTTGGTTTTACAATGACTTCGTATTGATTAAATTAAATAATTATACAAAACGAGGGGGGTTGAAAAAAATTAAACTTAGCTGAATATGAATTTTCAAGGGAAATCATCAATTCAGCTTAGCTGAATTGTGATTCATCAATTCAGCTTAGCTGAATTGTGATTTCTTTGGGAATTCAGCTTAGCTGAATTAGGTTCCGACAGGAAATCTTTAATTCAGCTTAGCTGAATAAGGTTTCCAGTGGTAAATTGTCAGTTAAACTTGGCTAAATTTGAGTCAGGTTGAAAAATCTATAATTCAGCTTAGCTGAATTTGGGTTTCGATGAGAAATTTGCAACTCAGATTAGCTGAATAAGGTTTCCGATGAGAAATATTGAATTCAGCTCAGCTGAATTAGGGCTTCGATGGTAAATAACCTATGCTGTATTGAGTTTTCGATGGGAAATCTTCAATTTAACTTAGCTGAATTGAATTTCCGATGAGAAATCTTCAATTCAGCTTAGCTGAATTGTGGTTCCGATGGCAAAACTTCAATTCAGCTTAACTGAATAAGAGTTTCTTTAGAAAATCTTCAACTTAGCTTAACTGAATTAGGTTTCCTATGAGAAATCTTCAATTCTCCTTAGCTGAATTGGGGTTCCGATGGGAAATCTTCAATTAAGCTTAGCTGAATTGGAATTTTTGTATAAACTCTTTAATTTAGTTTAGCTGAATTGGAGTTTCTGTAGAAAATCTTTAATTTAACTTAGCTGAATTACAGTTTTTGTAGAAAATTCTTAATTTAGCTTAGCTGAATTAGGGTTCCAATAGGAAATCTTTAATTCAGCTTAGCTGAATTAGAGTTTCTGTGGAAAATCTTCAATTTACCATAGCTGAATTGGGGTTTCTGTATGAAATCTTCATTTAGCTTAGCTGAATTAGGTTCCCTGTGAGAAATCTTAAATTCAGCATAGCTGAATTGCAGTCCGATGGGAAATCTTCAGTTCAGCTTAGCTAAATTGGGGTCTTTCATTTGAAATCTTCATTTTAGCTTAGCTGAATAAGGTTCCCTGTGAGAAATCTTAAATTCAGCATAGCTGAATTGCAGTCCGATGGGAAATCTTCAGTTCAGCTTAGCTGAATTGAGGTTCCGATGGGAAATCTTCAATTCAGCTTAGCTGTATTAGGTTTATCATCTGAAATCTTCAATTTAGCTTAACTTAATTAGAGTTTCTATAGAAAATCTCCAATGTAGCTTACTTAAATTAGGGTTTCTGCAGGAAATTGTTAATTTAGCATAGCTGAATTAAGGTTTCTGTAGGAAATCGTCAAATTAGCTTAGCTAAATATGGATTCCTAGAGAAAATCTTCAATTCAGCAAAGCTGAATTAGGGTTTCGATCGTAGCTATGCATTTTAGCCTAGCTGAATTGGGTTTCCTATACAAAATCTTCACTTATGCTCAGCTGAATAAGAGTTTCGATAAGAAATCTTCTATTCAGCATAGCTGAATTATGGTTCCGATGCGAAATCTGCAATTCAGAATAGCTGAATTAGAGTTCCCGTAAGAATTCTTCAATTCAGCTAAGCTAAATTAAAGTCTCCTTGAGAAATTCCCCCCTTTAATTGTCTGCTTAGTCATAAAAACCCCGTTAGCTTTAAGATTAGCCTTCTTGAGTTAATTTCTTATTTCATTTTCATCTTTTCCCATTTTTCTTCCATTCACTCTTTACGTCACATCACATCCTTCCTTCCGCCCGTCAACATTGCACAACGAACACAACAACAAAAATCCCAATTTTCATTACTTTTGGCTATTAACAAAAATGACTTAACAACAATTCGGGCAATAACAACAAAAACAACTACCACCACAACAACAATAACAACAACTAATTTTAACAACAATCATGTTACAACAACATAATTACAATTCTTCTAACGTTTTTGGACATGGCAACCAACCACTCTTCGAATGCCTTCATCCACCCTCCAACCAAACAAAAATAATTCGAACAAAAATAAAAACACAACAACAACATGGTTACACTGTTTTGGTTATTCTGCCATTGTGCTATGTCCTGAATTTAACCAATGGCTGATTTAATGGAAATTCCGTTTTCTTCCTCTGACACTTTACAGAATCTCCGGCCTCTCACCGTTTATGGGAGAAACTGATATTGAGACCATGGCCAATGTGACAATTGCCAAATATGATTTTGAGGATGAATCCTTTAGCAATGTTTCACCTGAATGCATCGATTTTATATCGAAGCTATTAGTAAAAGACTTGAAGTAAGTATGAGGTCTGTTCGAGGAATGTAAGGAGGAAAAAATAATTTTGTTTTTTTTTTCGAATTTTCAGTACCCGCATGACAGCTGAACAGTGTCTGAAACACAAATGGCTACAGAGACGCCCCAAGAGTCCACCAAAGGTTTCACCAAAGCCCTTAACCATACCAGAAGCCTCGCTGAAGGCAACCACACCCTCACCCATACCGCCCAGCATTGATGGGGATCACAGTTCGGTGGCCAGTAATGAAACCGAGGAGAGCGATCCAGTAACGGGGGTGAGTAAAAAATTAAAATTTAGCACAAAATATCTTATTCAGCTAAGCTAAATTTAAGATTTCCCATTGGAACACTAATTCAGCTAATCTAAATTTAAGATTTCCTATTGGAACACTAATTCAGCTAGGCTGAAACGAAGGTTTCCTACAATAAAGCTAATTCAAATAAGCCCAATTTCAAATTTCTCATTGGAAACCTAATTCAGCTGGGCTGAATTGTAAATTTCCCATCGAAACTTTAATTCAGCTAAGCGATATTGCAGATTCCCATCGATATTGCAGAATTCAACTGAGCTGAATTGAAAATTTACGACCGCAAACCTAATTCAGCTAAGTTATGTTGAAGATTTCCTACCGGAAACCTAATTCAGCTGAGCTGAATTGAAGAATTCCTATTAAAACTAAGTTAAATTGAAAATTTCTTAACGAAATTGCAATTTAGGTTAGCTGACTTGAAGATTTACCAACGGAACTCTAATTCAGCTATGCAAAAATTAAGAAATTTCATCAAAAACCTAATTCAGCTAAGCTGAATTGAAGAATTTCCATTAGAACCCAAATTCAACTAAGTTAAATGGGCATTTTCCGAACAAAAATATATAATTCAGCTAAGCTGAATTGTAGATTTCAGTTAGAAAATCTAATTCAGCTAAGCTGAATTACAGATTTAAGTTAGAAAATCTAATTCAGCTAAGCTGAATTGCAGATTTTATTACGGAAATATAATTCAGCTAAGCTGAATTGAAGATTTTGCAACGGAAAACTAATTCAGCTAAGCTTAATTGAAGATTTATTATCAGCAATGAAAACCTAATTTAGTTAAGTTGAATTGAAGATTTTGCAACGAAAACCTAATTCAGCTAAGCTGTATTGAAAAAGTTCCAACTGAAACTCAATTCAGCTAAGCTAAATTAAAGATTTCTTAACGGAAACCTAATTCAGCTTAGCTGAATTAAAGATTTTTCAAGGGAAACCTAATTCAGCTGAGCTGAATTGAAGATTTTTCAAGGGAAACCTAATGAATTGAAGATTTGTCATCGGAAACCTAATTCAGCTAGGCTGAATTGCAGATTTCCTATCAGAAACCCAATTTAGCTAAGCTGAATTGCAGATTTACCATCGGAAACCTTATTCAGCTAAGTTGAATTTAAGATTTCCTTTATAAACCATAATTCAGCTAAATTGAATTTAAGATTTCCTTTATAAACCATAATTCAACTAAATTTTATATTCATATTCAATTTTAATTTAATTTGTTATTTAGAGTTCTTTCAACTCGTTTGCCTTTGGCTTCAAGTTTTTGTTTTATTTCCTCTTCTTCTTTTCTGATTTTCATTTGATTTTCTTGTAATTTTTTTCCTACGACAGACAAAAGAATTGGATACAACAAAAGATAATCTGAAAAACTTCATAGAACGCTGGGAGGAACATCCGAACAGTCCGTATGTATTCGATGTCGAAGGAAATGTTATTGCCCCGCTCAGCGAGACGGAGTACAAAAAGGCTCACGGCCCCGACAGCATATCATCGTCAAGAGGTGAGTACCGTATGACAGATAGGGCAACATCCGCAGCCAGAGCGACAGCAACAACAACAACACCAGCAGCCATCAGAGCCTGTGCCGCCGCATATGCCTGCCCTCCTCCTATGGAGTCATGCGACAAGAACAACAACAAAAGAACAAAAACCGAACAAACACAAACATGCAAATCATCAAATGTTGTGACAGTGTCAGTGATGTCGTCTGCCATGGCAACAACAACTACAACAACATGCTCACAAAGACAACAACAACATTTAATAAAAAGCACATAGCAAACATGCCAAAGCAAATTAAAAACAACAACAACCAAAAGCAAACCCTTCCCTCCCTGGAAGGTTAACCGAACCGGTTTGCTTTGCCCCTCGATTTTGTTGTCCTTCCAGGGATTTGTTTTGGTTTGCTGTCTGTTATGTATTTATTATTTTAAAGCCAAAGATTAAGTTTAGTTGTTAAAAAATATCTTCGCCGTCACCTCACCCACACCTTGCCTTTTCAAACTAACCTCAATTTTAATGTTTCCTTTTTCATATTTTTTTCTCATTCCTATTACTTTCATCTTTCGTTATATTTTCTTCTTTTCTATTATACTGTGATAAGTATTACAAATATTTGTTGTCATTTATATGTGTACTACAACAACAAACACAAGAAATACTGTGAAATAATTAATAAAAAATAACATAAACAAAATTTTAACCCCCACCTTTTTTGTTGTGTCAGTGTGAGTCAATATGTGTCAGCTTTCGTAATTCAGCAAAATAACCCCAGAAAACACCTTAATTTCCGTTAGAAACTTAATTCAACTTAGCAGATTTCGACCTAGAAACCTAATTCTGCTAAGTTAAATTGCAGATTTCGAGCCTGAAACCTAATTCAGCAAAGCTGAATTGCAGATTTCGAGCCTGAAACCTAATTCAACAAAGCTGAATTGCAGATTTCCCGTCGGAAACCTAATTCAGCTAGGCTGAATTGCAGATTTCATCTAAGAACCCTAATTCAGCTAACTATAAATATATATTTCCCACTAGGAAATATATTCACCTAAGTTATATAAGATTTTCCATCAGAAACCTAATTCAAATGAGCCAAATTGAAGATTTCCCATAAAAAAACAATTCAGTTAAGCGCGATTTAAGATTTCTCATCGGAAACATCATTCAGCAGGGCTACATTATGTAAAATTCTTACCGAAATCTTATTCAGCAAGACAGATTTTCAGATTTCTAACTAAAATGTTGATGTTGCTAAAATATGTTGATATAAGCTAAAATACGAATCCCCCACCAAAAATATGTTTCAGCTAAGCTGAATTACAAATTTCCTACCAAAACCTTAATTCAGCTGGGCTGAATTACAAATTTCCTACCAAAACCTTCATTCAGCTGAGCTGAATTACAAATTTCCTACCAAAACCTTAATTCAGCCGTGCTGAATTGAAGATTTCCTATGGAAACCTTAATTCAGCCGTGCTGAATTGAAGCTTACCTATAGAAACCTTAATTCAGCTGGGCTGTATTAAAGCTTACCTATGGAAACCTTAATTCAGTTGGGCTGAATTGCAGATTTCCTATGGAAACCTTAATTCAGCTGGGCTGAATTGCAGATTTCCTATGGAAACCTTAATTCAGCTGGGCTGAACTGCAGATTTCCTATGGAAACCTTAATTCAGCTGGGCTGAATTGCAGATTACCTATGGAAACCCTAATTCTGCTGGGCTGAATTGCAGATTACCTATGGAAACCTTAATTCAGCTGGGCTGAATTGGGCTGTGTCATGAATTGAAGATTTCCTATGGAAACCTTAATTCAGCTAAGCTGAATTGAAGATTTCCTATGGAAACCTTAATTCAGCTAAGCTGAATTGAAGATTTCCTATGGAAACCTTAATTCAGCTAAGCTGAATTGACGATTTCCTATGGAATCCTTAATTCAGCTAATCTGAAATGCATTTTCCCTTTGAATTCTTAATTCAGTTAATTTTAATTCCATTATTTTTCATGGAAAATCATATTCAGCTCAGCTGAATTGAGAAAAAAATTTCTTTATTCAGCTAAATTTAATAAATGTGTTTTTATTGGGGTTATTTTGTGCTGATATTCACAATCTTCTTAGTTCCGCTTATATATCTCCATTGTTTGTTTTCTTCAGCTTTAAACAAGCAGCCAACTGTCATATTGCTGTTGTTGTGTGTGTCATGTTATGTGTTGTAATCCATGAGAGAGTATGTGTGTGTGTGAGAGTATGAGAGCGGGATTATACTTTGTAAGCTTCTCTTAAGCGCCTTAAGCATAATTTTGTTTAAACACACACACACAGCCAACGTCACCAAAGGCAGCATTCGTAATGCAGCAGTATCATGCAACAGCAGCAACAACAACAACAACTGCCACCATCATATCATCGAAGGCAAATAGTTTTTTACTTCATTTTTCCTCATTGCCACAACCACAAATAAATCTGAGCAAAAAAATATTTAATTTCAATTCGAATAAAAAAACGAAGATAAAAGGGACCCTGATTGCAAAACGTGGAATTCGTTTTCCCTCCACTCATTCGTGATGTCCTTTCGTCCTTATCTACTTGTGTGTGTTGTCCTCTTAGTCGGTCAATGTGACATACCGATAGCTTTGATTTCATTTTTTCACTCTCTTTGCTTTCTCTTTCTACTTTCTCCCCTCAGTGATTCCCTGCCTCGGCAATACCCCTGATGGGTTACTTCAATTGCAGTTTTTTTTTTATTTTCTTCCTTAAAGCTGGTTCGCTATTTGGGTCGTTACATTTGTTTGTGTGTGATCTTTATCAAAAAATACCCTTCTTTTTCCCTCTTTCTTCTCTTTTTTTTTGTTCTTCTTAAGTCTTTAAAGACCTAGAAATTGCCACGCAAATAATGCCGAATATTCTCTAGGGGGCTCGATACTGCAATTTGCATTCCAGTTCCAATCAAAAAATTTGTATACGAAAATCAATTCTCATTTTAACAAAAAAGCTCAAGGAAAATTCTACCACCCACACAAACACCTATCCACTTTATGTTCCGCATAACAAAGAAAAACATCAGACCATTCAATAAAATCAAAGGCCAAAGGTAAGCTTCTCTATGGAAAATAAATTCTAATACGTTTTTTTCTGTTTGAATTTGGCACCATTTTTATTCTCGCTACATGGCACCCATGCACACACATACATATATACGTATATACACACACACTCTCTCTCAATTTGGTATTTGTATAATTTTATGGAAATTATCCTGCAGTGTAAGAGATTGTCCTTCATTTCATTTGTTTTGGGTTTCTTTCATGGCTTTTAAGCTTTCAAGATCAGACACTTTTTTTGGTTATGGTTAAGAGATTAGCTTAAGCTTAAAAGCTTTATTTATTGGTTACATTCGAAAGCTCTTTTTATTCATTATAGGTTAAAGGCACTACTCACTTCATCAAAGCTTTAAAAGCTCATATTACTACATAGAAAAGCCTAATTCAGCTGACCAAACTTGCAGATTTCATATAGAAACCCCACTTCAGTAAAGCTGAATTGAAGATTTCCTATAGAAACCTTAATTCAGCCGGGCTGAATTGAAGATATGCTATAGAAACCTTAATTCAGCCGGGCTGAATTGAAGATTCCCTATAGAAACCTTAATTCAGCCGGGCTGAATTGAAGATTCCCTATAGAAACCTTAATTCAGCCGGGCTGAATTTAAGATTCCCTATAGAAACCTTAATTCAGCCGTGCTGAATTGAAGATTTCCTAAAGAAACCTTAATTCAGCTGGGCTGAATTGAAGCTTACCTATGGAAACCTTAATTCAGCTGGGCTGAATTGAAGCTTACCTATGGAAACCTTAATTCAGCTGGTGCTGAATTGAAGCTTACCTATGGAAACCTTAATTCAGCTGGGCTGAATTGAAGCTTACCTATGGAAACCTTAATTCAGCTGGGCTGAATTGAAGCTTACCTATGGAAACCTTAATTAAGCTGGGCTGAATTGAAGCTTACCTATGGAAAACTTAATTCAGCTGAGCTGAATTGAAGATTTCATATAGAAACCTTAATTCAGCTGGGCTGAATTGAAGATTTCCTACAGAAACCTTAATTCAGCCGGGCTGAATTGAAGATTTACCTTTGGAAACCTAATTCAGCTGAGCTGACTTGAAGATTTCCTGTGGAAACGTTAATTCAGCTGAGCTGAATTGAAGATTTACCTTCGGAAACATAATTAAGCTGAGCTGAATTGAAGATTTACCTTCGGAAACCTAATTCAGCTGAGCTGAATTGAAGATTTCCTCAATTCAGCCGGGCTGAATTGGAGATTTTTTATCAGAAACCTAATTCAGCTGAGCTGAATGGATGTTTTATTCACTTAATGCCCTTAACGGTTGTTTTTTCGTCTCTTGTATATCTCTCTGATCATATATTAATCATTCTCTTTCTCTCTCATGCACTCTCTAAATGTTCTCTTTTATTTCCTAGAGTATATTAGCCTTTGTAAAATTGTCTCTCTTTTTTATGAATTGTTTGCTCTTTGTTTTTAATTTGCTTTTGAAAAAATCGACACAAGGCTTGGCTGTAAAAATACACAATTTATTTAAAAAAAAAATTTCAAAAAATGTATTTTTATAACAAAAATATTTTTTCTCTCCCTTATTCTATCTTGCAGTTTGCTCTCCATCACCCTGCGAGAGCCTTGACACCGTAACCGATGACGAATCCTATTTATCGGAGTTCAATAATATCGATGAACCTCCCACACCCATTAATGAGTCCCGGGAACATTTGTTCCCCTCGCCCAGTGGTGCTGCTACCCCGACGCCACAGAGTATTAATATGTCGAATCCGTTTGGCAGTCGGGTGGATGAGTTGAATGGCAGTACCCTGAATTTGCAGCAACGCTCTCTGAAATCGTATCTTCATACATTCGATCGCCGTAATTCGGATACGAATTATTTGTTGGGTCGTCGTTCGTCAGGAGAGCGGGTCAATTTGGCCGATGAAATTAAAAAGCTATCCGATCATTTGCTGATGTTGGCCCAGATTAATACGAAGTTCAATAAGGATGGTAGTGAAAAGGAGAAGGAGGGCGAAGAGGTGGAAAAGAAACCCAAGACAAAGAAGGGTACTGGGGAAAAGAAAAAGTCCCCCAAAACCTCGGAAAGTGAAAAAACGGGAAGCACAAAGGAAAAGGAGGGGAAAGTCAAGACCCCTAAAACTTCCAATACAACAACAACAACAACTACCTCAAAGAAGACCGCTATGGAAAATTCAGTGACCTCCAATAACAACAATAACACCACCACGACCACAAGCACCACCAGCAGCTCCACCTCCACAACCTCCACCACCAATAACTTCTTCAGCAACTTGAACCCCGGTAAAAGCCGAACCAGCAGCCTCTCCTGGCGTCTGCAACAATCCATTGAAGAGACACCCAAATTGAATACCTCCTCGAATGGCCCCAGGAAATCCTCCGTCAGTACCATGACAACTGGCAATGCCCAAAAACCCACCTCAGCGGCGGATCGTTTCCAAGAGGCAGCCAGCATAAAGCGGGCCAAATTCCGTATCAGTCAAATGAGCCGTGATGTTCCCGTCGGCCTACCCAATACCCATCAGGCGGTGAATTTGGAAGAGGCCGCCAATAATACCAAAGATTGTCTCCTGCATCTCCTGGAGAAATATAACGAATCGAAGACCCGCAACCCCTTGGGTAGGCATCAGAGTATTGGCGCCATCGATTGGAATGTTAGCGACAATTTGGAATATCGTTCGATGAGTTCGATCAATGCCTTCTTTCAGCGTCACAACAACAGGGGGAATATGGTGAAACAATTGCAGCAGCAGCTACAGGAAAAGACCGGGGGTGCGGCTAATTGAAGAGGAGAAAGGGAAATTTAAAAAGTATCTTTGAAGCCATGGGGTCCTGAAAATAAATTTCCTTGCAGTTTGAATTTTTCATTTGTTTCCTCCACATAAAATACTCCTAGCATAAATTTCGTTGAATGTACTCTTAAAGAAGAAGAAAATGAACCACAAAAAAGAATAAGAAAAAAATATTATTTTTGTATATTTAAGTTTTATTTATTTATGTTTTTTTATTAATTAATTTTTAATTTATTTATTATTTTATGAAAAAAAAATTAAATTAGTTTTGTAAATAAAGAAAATAAAAATTGAAATGTGTAAGCGAATTTGACTTTATTTTCTAGAGGATTTCCAATGGAAACCTTAATTCAACCGGGCTGAATTGAAAATTTCCTTTAGGAACCTTAATTCAGCTGGGCTAAATTAAAGATTTCCTATCGAAACCAAAAATCGTCCACATAACTAGGTCTTAAAAAAAAATATTTCAAAAATCCTCGCTTATTATTAGGTCTTGAAAATATGTTTAAACCTAGAAAAAAATATTAATATCCGATTTAATACCTTAAAAAAAATCTACACTCATAATTAGTCTTTCGAAAATGTTTTTAAAAAATCATCACTCCGTCCTTATTTATTATTATATTAATGTACAAATGATATAAAATTATAAGGCAATATCCCCACACAAATATTGGCAATACTGCTGCTGTGAACGAATTGCAGTTGCATATTGTTTATTTTTCCCCATTATTCTATTAAAACACAAAAACAACAACAATATAAAGTTCTTACCTTGAAGAAGAGCTCATCTGCCATTTCATTACTCTCCTAAGCTTACGAGAATAACAGACATCATACAACAACTGCGGCGACTGCGACGCCAACGATTGTTCAAACGAACGACCGAGAAGTTACAAAAAATGTAAACAAACGAAACCACGAACCAAATGACCACTAACCTAAACACAGAGATCAAATGTCGACGGCGGCGAGCGAGGCGACTGCGACGTCAACGATTGTTAAGACCGAGACGGACACGAAATAGGTAAACAAAGCACGAATTGCCCAATTGATAAAGCAAAAGAACACACAGAAAAAAACGAGCACAGAAGAATGGACAGCTTGCAAACAAAAAAAAAAAAACTACGCACAAAACTAAACATGCTAAAATTATTAATAACATTTAACATATTCACTGATGTTAAATTAAATTATGAACATTTACTGATGATTGATGGATCACATTAAATAATTATTATCGAAATTAAAGAAAACACACACGCCCGGCTTCAAGGAAAAGAGAAAACAAACTGAAGAACGGAAAAGAAAATAAGTGTAGAGTTCCCCTGTGCAGAACAAAAAATATTTGCCGTGAAATTCCAACGGATTATTAAAAGAGGGGCTAAAACTTGAAGACATGTGTATCGGCGTTTTGAAACTTTACTTTGGGAGGTAAGCTATAAAGGGGAGGAAAGCCAAGACGAACTGGCGACATAGTGCGAATTTTATTCAAAAACTTGACCTACCACCAGAGCTTTGGTAAACACAAGGAATTTCCAATTATTTAATTAATTTTTTCAATTAATCGTTCCCATTATTTGTCTTGACATCACATCATCTTATTACAACTACATTAATAATGGCAACCCTATTGTTATTCTCTCATTAGTTGACATTGACATTTCCATTGCAACAGTTTGCAAAACATGGTTTTTCCCCGATATCGCGAGTCGTGTTTTCGGTCGGTAGTTTCGGTAAATGTTTTTTAAGAAATATTAATTGTAAAGTGTAATAAAATAGTTTATGAATCCGGGAATTTGGTTATTTTCTACAAAAGTTTGTAATTTTAACGCACTACTGTGTTTCTTTATTTGTTTTTGTTGTGCGGTGATTTTCGTTCTTTCTGACGTCTTAACTGCTGAAGATTGTATCATTCACGTAGTCCCTTTGTCGTTATTTTTTGCAAAGTGAAAAGAGAAATGGTCTCTATGTTGTGCTCTCATGTAGAAAGTGTTTTTTCAAAATATTTCATCATAGTTTCAATATTAAAATTTGTGCTAAAAAATATTTGGAATATGTTTGTCAAAATTGTGCTGTTGTTTGTTCTTTTACTTTGACGGCCATATTCACGTGTGTGTATCTCGTGTTTTCGTCGTACGTTTACGCATTCGTTGTCGTCTCAGTCGCAATCGCTGCCGTCATCGTTCGTTCATCGTACAAACTGCATTCTCTGTTGTTTTCGCGAGCTTTGGAAGAGAATGTTTGCTGTCAAATGAGATTTGAAAGGTAAGAGAAATTAAATCAACGTTTTCTAATGCAAAGGGTGGCGGAAATCAATAGTAGCCAAAATTTCTCTTGAAATTAATTAATTTAACATTTTTAAGGTTTCTGATGGGAAATCTTCAATTTAGCGCAACCGAATTATAGTTTTTTAGGTACCCCATCTTTGGTTTATACTATTTTGTCTGCGAGTCTAAAATTATATGTTTAGCCAAGCCAGGCACCGTTATGACATTGTCATATCACACATCATTATTGATTAAAATTAATTTAGAATTGCCATGTCATATGATTGGCATACAGCAATGATCGATAACGATAACTTTTGTTATTGGGTTGGTGTCTAGCATAACAAATTCATAGTTCGGTTGATGTCATTGCTAGGTAAAATAAAGCATATAGCAATATAGAGTATAAAATTTTTGGACACATCGTAATATTTTACCAAAACCAAAATCAAGATGGTACCAAATCGCCATGTCGCTATCAGTTACCTCCCGTACAGATTGTATAATTTTTGAAAATTTATAAATCTCATATGACAGCGAACGGCGAATAGACAAATTTCATTCAAATCAGAGAATGGTTAGCATAAATGTATGCCCCACATAAGGGTGCCACCCTAAAATTCGGCAACTTTCGGAACTTTAGCGGATGTCAAAACTAAGAAAATATGAATTACGGCTCTCTTTTGTTATAGCTCCCAGATAGCGGTACCGCAGTATTTTCGATATTTTAAAGATTTTAATCGTATTTTCTCACCAAAGTAATTGTAATTTCGCATTCCGGGGTTTGGAGGCTGACATCCATATATATGTTGAAAATTATGAAATATAAATTAATTATAATCTATATTTCATAAATTACGCTTTTAGAGCAGAATATCTTCTTTAAAAAATCCACGCCTCAAGAGGATATCTTTCTTAAAAATCGTTAAAAAAGCCACGCCTTTAGAGCAGTATATCTTCTTTAAAAAATCCACGTCTCTAGAGGAGGATATCCTTCTTAAAAAATCTTTAAAAAAATCCACACCTCTAGAGAAGGATATATTTCTTAAAAAAATCTTTTCCAACATTTTTTTAAATTTTCAAGTTTTAAAATTTTGATTTTTATTCTCATTTTCCCACTTTTATTTTCAAACACCCTAAATTGCTTCAATCATAAACGATTATTCAACCTAACCTCACTATTTTTTTTTTTCAATAATATTTATTTTCAATTGCAATTATTTTGATTTTCACTACCATATTCCACTGCTATTTTTCAACAACTCCACAATAATTCTCTCATAAAAAGCTGATGTTCATGTTTTAAAATTCTAATTTTTATTCTCATATTCCACTCCTTTTTTAAAAACTCCAAAATGTTTTAATCACAAAATTTATTCAACCTAACCTCACTTATTTTTCAATAATATTTATTTTCACTGTCATTTTCCTCTCTTATTGTTCAATAACTCCCAAAAAAATGTACATTATAAAAATATGTTCTTCAATTTCAATTTTCTCTATAACACATTGAACATTTGTTCACGTTTTTAAACTTTTATTTTTATTCTCATTTTCCCATTCCTATTTTCAAAAACTGCAAAAATGTTCAATTATAAAAAATTTTTCCACCTAACCTCACTTTTTTCAAGAAAATTTTATTTTCAATTGCAATTATTTTGATTTTTACCATCATTTTCCACTCCCATTTTTTAAAAACTCCACTATATTTCTCGCATACAAAAGTTCTTTAACCTAACCTCACTTTTTTTAAATATTGATTTTTCAATTTCCAAAATTGTTCTATAACACATTGAGAATTTTTTTATGTTTTAAACATTTTGTTCAATAATATTTTGTTTCATTCTCATTATCCGCTCCTAGCACTAGCATTTCCCACTCCTTTTATTAAAAAACTCCACTATATTGCTCTCATAAAAAAGTTCTTCAACCTAACCCCACTTTTTTCAATAATATCTATTGATTTTTTAATTTCCAAAATTTTTCTTTTTTTTCATAAATGTTTTATTCTTTTTTTTTCAAATTTGTCCCCCCATCTACTCATACGCTTATCTTCTAGAAGCGGCTCTAAAAAATTAATTCCAAACCAAACACACACGTGGTGGTGCATGTTCGTGTCTGTACATCGTTTACAAAGTGAGAAGAATGTCCAACGAGTTTTTCAGCTAGTTTTTCATCCACTTCTTCTTGTTTCATTTGCGTTTTCCACATACAGAAAACAAAACTGTTATCTCCAATAATAAAAAAAATTGTATCTATTCCATGGCTTTGACGCGCATTGCATTCGATTTGAGGCACGCAACACACAGCACACAGTATGGGAGTGGTAGTAGTAGTGGTGGTTGTATCAAAATTATCACTTCATTGATGGGTCTTCGAATTACAACGCAATTTTTTTATTCTAGATTTTCGTTAAATAAATTTTGAATTTGTTAAAAAAATAGGATACGAAACATTAATATTATTGAAAAAAGTTAAGTTATATAGAATGTGTTTTGTGTGGAGAAATATTGTGGTGTTTTTTTTTTTTTTTTAATGGGAGTGGAAATTGTTTTCCTTAAAAAATATTCAAAACAAAATTTTTTTTTTAAGTTGGGTTATGTTAAATATGTTTTGTGAGGGAAATATTATGGAGTGATTGGAAAAATAGGCGTGGAACCTGGGTATTTGTAATCCGTATAAAATTAATAAATTCTTATATAGTGCTTTGGTTAAAAGAATATT